ATTTTGCATTCACCTCTGAGGATTGCGCCAAACTTAACCCTCGCCGGCCGAGGGGGGGGGGGCGGGTGCCGCCCCCCCATAGGGTTTTTTCGCGATAGCTCCGAACACGCTGGCGATAGAGAGCTGAAACTTGGCATACCTGACCTTTGATCCAAGCCGCATCTTTTGACACCAACCGCATTTTTGGGTCAGGTCAGGTCACTGACCTATGACGTCATAAGTGAACCTCTGCACGGTCTTCAGATGTCGCAACTTCGCAACGCCCTCACTGCCAGAGGAGATGTCACAGGGAAATGAAACTTGCAGGATCTAGTATCCATTATGAGTCCCACAACTTGTATATCTCGGATTTTTCCTAAAGGTCATATGAGGTCAGGTCATTTTCGTGACCTCACCATTATAAGTCAATGGGGAAAAATGAAAACTGCTATTCTGGCGCCGGGAACGATCTCCAACTATCTCAAGCGCACAGAATCGTGATTTTATGCACTCCTTGCAAGGTTAGATGCGTCACTTTTGCAATGTTGACCTTGCGTGACGTCATTTATGACGTCATCAAGGTCATATTAGTTTTTCGTCAATAACTCTTGATCAAATTGAGCTAGCGAGTCGGGAAAGCCACCAATGGACTCAGGAAGACCTGCCGAATCGAATAATATGCGACATGGCCTCTTTCGACCAACTTCGTGACCTGGGGGTGCTGACCTGACCTTGACCTGAGGTCAACACCCCAAGTTGACCTGACCCGGACAAAAAGTATATCATTCGACGCGCCTGAGCGAGACAAACACGATGCTGCCAAAATCGGCGCTCTGCGGCCGTTTTTTGCGAAGTTATTCACCAAAAACTGAACCGTACCTTGGGGCACTTGACCTGACCTCAGAGGTCACCGGTTGACCTAGGACCTTAAAATCGGGTACCAATCTCTGCGTCTCGTAACGGCGCACACGCTCGTTTTTTCCGCGACGCGCTAGCTCCACCAGGGGCGAAACGGCGAGGGGGGGGTCGTACCCGCCCCCCCCCCCCCCTCGGCCGGCGCGTATGTAGAAAACCAATAGGTCCGGCGAGGGTTAAGCCAGGGTGCTGGGTAGCCAATTCCTTACTCAAGTAGCGATTGTCAAAAAAAAGGATCTAAGAGAACGTTCCCAAAAGTAGGTATAAGAAAAACAATATCCAAAACAAATATGGAGCGCATTTGGGTTCCGACCAGCGACCATTTCCATTAACGTAGGCAAAGTCATGAGATAAAAATCATAAAATACATGACTTTCACAAAAAGGCACGACCGAATACAAATGTTAAATTGTGTAAAGACTTCATTGCAATGCCTGACGAATACGTGCAAGCAAAATTACCTTTACAATTACCCCATTTATAATCCACATGTTGCACAGCATACCTAGGTACATCTATGTGAACGACATGCATAAGCAAATGAGCACCTGCACAAAGGGATTTTGAGCAGAGCATCAGAAGAAAATCCCTTTGGGATGACTAATGCGCATTTACTTTACTCATACATGAAGTGACGTAATGGATGACGTAGTTACGTGACGTAGTTACTGACACGGTACTCACATACCCACATAATGCATTACGCAACATCGATGGCGTAGTTTGTAATAGACTTAATGACGTCACTCATAGCTATGCTGAGGTCGATCTGAGAAACTCCCTCTCATCCCGCAAAAATTGAGCCCACCGCATGATTCAGCTTTATGTTATGTACACACAGCACAGTACAACGTAGGGTTACGGTCGCACGATGCACTCCAGTGGCGGATCCAGGGGGGGGGGCTGCGGGGGCTGGCAGCCCCCACCCAAGGAAAACTGGCGCCACTGCGCCGGAGGCGCAGTGGCGCCAATTTTCAATTCGCAACTCATGGGAGTGCCGCATACTAGGACTAGGATGCAAAAATCAGTCGAATAACGTCGTTTCAGTACGCTCCGCACCGATATTTCCAATCGTGTGGTGTCACTGTACATACTGATCCTGGGCGCCTCTTGTCAGGGCCACTGGGCGCCAATATTTCAGCGCCAATACGATGCGACTATGGCGCCCATCCGGGGCGTGGCGCCCAATTATGACCTGCAGCCCCTCCCCAGTGAAAATCCTGGATCCGCCACTGATGCACTCTTGTGCTCAAACTGTTGGTTGAATGACCAAAGTGGCAAAGCTTAATGCTATCGTTTGATGAGCGAGTTGGTATCAATGAATGTACGTGCTACGCGGTAAAATTACGGGAACCGTCTTATGCAGGGGATGATGAAGGGATGAACAAGCGGCGCGGTCGATTCAAGCGGTTGCAGAGAAATAGGTGATGAGTTACTTCAAAAGTAAGACTATATGCAAATCCTCTACTCCTTTTCAGGCAATAATATTTTTACAGATGGGATTTGAACCAATTTATAGAAGTTTTTTCGACGTTTGGTGAAGTGAGTAGTGACAATGCAAACAAAAATTCAAAAATATTATATTTTGTGAAATATAGAAATATCATAGATGAACACAAATAGCACAACTCGATTCGCTGAGAAAAAAAGCGTCAGGCTCCTTTTGGTCTAAAATAGCCGTTTTCACGACGGCCATCTGGCATGGGCGGCGCCACCGGGGGGGACGGGGGGGACAGGTCCCCCGCTATCGAAAGTTAGGGGGGTACAGTACCCCCCTATCGGCGAGGTCCGTTCAATAGTTGATAATAATGCATTGTAGAGTTATCCGTCGCATTTAATGCATCGTTGGTTAATCAAGACAGGTTCTGAATAAAGATTGCTGTTGGGATGTATCGCAGGGGGTCCTGGCCATCTGCAAAAGGTGTGGAGCTGTGATGCCTGTAGTCATAAGGTGATCGGCAGGGCCTCGGGGATCGTGCCCCCCCCCCCTTTTTGGGGCGCCAGACAGGGTTTATTACCTCCCCCACCCCACTGCCAGACCACATTGCCGACAAAACCAAGTTTACTGAAATTCCATAGATTTCCGTTACTATATGGATATTTTCCATTCCTAATTAGTCAAATTCAAGCATGGCAGCTCTACCACAGGAACCATTTGAAATATATGCCATTTAACCCAGCACTTGTGGGCAGAAGTGTTCGGATAGATCACAGGCAGGACCAAAAAAGCACGCCGTAGCCCAAGATCTTATAATTGGGTAGCATCGGCACCCTCTCGTCAAGGGGTTCGATAGCACTCGTTTTTTTTTCTGCAAAACTAAGTTCGGTCGGCGGCCGAACGGCTGGGGGTCTAATCAAGCCCCCTTCCCTCCCCTTCTTACGTCAGCGGCTGTGAAAATGCCATTACCAGCTGTTGAAACATGGCAGTTGCTTTTGCATGAGTGCACGAAAGGGTTTTAGGTACGTGATACGTGAAAGGTTCTACATGAAATTGAGATACACCAGCTTATCAAATTGTGCTCACTGTGGTGCGCTCGGTTTTACCTTGACTAGTCTTTGAATTCTGGGGTGAAACAGACCAGTCAAGAAACCTGTTCCATAAGGAGAGCCACTGATGCTAAAGAGATGAGGGATGAGGTTTCAAGAGACCTTCATTACCTCCCAAAGGGGTGCCACGCCATTTGCCAATCCCTGCTGTAGTTGTTACGATTGGAGGGTGAATATGAGAACGATGCAGGTCGTGACAGCTCGATCATGACGAACACAATGGTGCCGACATCACAGCTCTATGTACCGCAATTTTTGACGAAGTTAATCAACAAGGACCGGAATCCTACCCTGGGGCACTTCACCTGCAGAGGTCGCCGGACCTGAGACCCTTTCACTCAATTTTTTCAACGGTGCATGCGGCATGCGCTCGTTTTTCCCTTGAAGCTCTTGGTAAGTAAAATCCATCAGAAAGTGTGATCAAATAACGGCTGGTGACCTTCCATGACCTAGCATGACCTTTTGAGTGACCACCGATGACATGACCACTGACGGCTAGCCATTAGCTGCACCCTGCCCGTTGCATATGGATCAGGTGGTGATGTCATGATTCTGAAATTATATTGCAGTTTTGGCGCACTTGTCTGAGCAGAAAACATTCCCACTTTTCCTCCATGACTATATGATGATGAAGCCATGAAGCTGACCAGACGCAAGATCGAAAATTTGAAAGTACGAAACGTAAGTAGTTGGCACTGCTACTCATACCTAAGCAATTCGCAGCTTGTAGGAAACCAGCTTTGAGTTGGCAAGACTGCAAATTTTGATTTAGAGGCAAGGATGCTTGAAAAGGTGATCGATCTTATAGTTGTCCTATGATAAGTTTGGAAACGGGATGCACCATTCGATGTGTTTTGGGCTTTGCCAAGTTTCGCGGCGTTACGTGCCTCGTTTTTTTTTTTTTTTTTGCATACACGATCAGTATCTACTTTTGGGATTCTCAGTCAGGCAAGCCCCCGTCCCCGTCCCCCCCTATCGAAAACCCGTGGCGCCGCCCCTGCCATCTGGTACACATTTGGTGCACATCTGGTACAGATTAGGTGCAGATCTGATCTGGTCAAATCAAGTTCAGTGTGTCTCTTAGCAGCTATCAGCTAGGGTTGCACTAATTGCTTATATGCCTGCGTTGTCATATTATCAGAGAGCATCATCGATTAAAACACTGAAATTAATTCATAAATTGAAGATATTTGCTGTTACGCCGCTAGTATCCGCGGCTGAGTTCGTTCCAGCTTCCGGGTCCGCGATCTCGGTCCGCGATCTCACACAGCGTTCTGAATAACGTAGTCCTGTATTGGTGATCGGTGTCCGGCGGGGGCCGCTGCCCGACTGCTGCACGGCCGCACCGTGCCCACGAGCGCAACGAGCTCAGCGCCACCTAGTCTACTGCACAAAGTTCAGAGGGCAAAGGGCTACGTCACCACACACTACCCCCCTCAACAGGAATGACAGTCGTGGCGAAGCAGACAACACAAAAACTGGCCGACATAAGACTTAACATCCGTCTAAAACTATTTCAAAGCAAAGCCAGTCGCTTCGAACACGACTTTGTGTCGCCGTCACATTTCGGCTATGAGGCGACGTGGCTGCTTCCGCTGCCTGGCGGAAACACGCTGAGCGATGCCTCCAGTTGCTGATCCAGCTCCTGTTCCTGTCGCCGATGAGGTCACACCGCCACCTCTGCTGACCTGCGCCTCCTCGGCACCAGCGTCGCCGCCTGCAGCTACCTGCGCTTCCTCGGAGCTGCCACCGGTAGCGGTAGCAGGTGCTGTCACAGCATCATTGCCCGTCGCCTCTGGTCCGTCTGTGGCCGGTGACCTGACCGTCGTTTCCGACCCGCCGGTCACACCTGTCCCGACGATGACCCCCGGTCTGATGGTCACCGGTGGTTCGCCAATCCCTGTGGGTGCCACCGGAACCTGTCCAGTACGGTTCGGTGCTGCCACCGTCGGCTGCCGGCTGATTTCCTCCGCGCCATCGGGCGCTGCAGCAGCCTGTTGGGTGCCCGCCAGACGCAGCTGGTCGGCGTGCCGCGACCAGATCGCGCTCCCCACGTCCACTTCGAACGACAGCGGGCCCGTCCGGGCGGTGATGACTGCCATGCAAGCCGCGCAGTCACGCGCCAGGGCCTCCAGCTCGGCGTCCATGCCCGGCCACCATACGTATCGGCGCGCCACACCTTTCATTTTGGCGCTGCCCAGGTGACCTTGGTGCAGCTCTGCCAGCACCTGTTGCCGAAGGCAGTGGGGAACCACCGTCCTGCCACCCCAGAGCAGACATCCCAGGTCCGTGGAGAGCTCATCCCGCCTCTGACGGAACGGGGCCAGCTCCTGCTCCACCTGTCCGGGCCACCCACTGTGCACGTACGTCAGGACGCGCGACAGTACCCGATCGCGGCGTGTCGCCGCCGCGAGTTGTTTGGCCGTCAGAACTGGAGCTACACCGTCCATGAACAGCAGATACGAGCCGCCGCTGGTGTTGTCCTCAGCGTCCGCTGGCTCGACCTCTCCGCCTGGCACTGCCATACGAGACAGACTGTCCGCCAGGTGCATGTCTTCTGATGGACGCAGCTCCACATCGTAGGTGAAAGCCGCGAGCTGCAGCGCATACCGCTGTAGCCTGGCCGCAGCCAGCGTTGGCAGCTCACGCTCCGGACTCAAGATGCGCGACAGCGCCCTGTTGTCCGTGACCAGGGTCCACCTCCGGCCGTAGAGAAACTGACCGAAACGCTTGACGGCGAAAGACACCGCCAGCGCCTCCTTCTCTACCATCGGATACTTCCTCTCCGTTTTTGTGAGTGTCCGAGAGGCGTACATTACCGGACGCTCCAGTCCTTCCTCGTCAGGCTGCAGAAGCACGGCTCCCACGCCGACTTCACTGCTATCTGTGACGAGCTTGAGCGGCGCCTCTGCATCGTACCGCTTTAGGACTGTGTCCCCTGCCAGCAGTTTCCGCACTCTGACCAGTGCGTTTTTGTGCACATTAGTCCATTTCCACGTGGCGCCCTTCTGTAAGAGATCGTACAGCGGCGCTAGTTCCGTGGAGAGGTTGGGAAGCACCCGCTGGTAGTAGTTGATGCTCCCCAAGATGCTGCGCAGACTTTTCACATCCTTAGGGTCCGGCATGTCGATCACTGCGTCAACTTTCTCGTGTACTGGACGCAGCCCCTGTGCTGAGATGCGCCAGCCGAGGTACTGCACCTCGTCGAGGCCAAGTTGACACTTCTCCCGTTTCAGCTTCACTCCATGAGCTTCCAGCCGAGTTAGCACTTCATCCAAGCGCACGCACAGGTCTGTCATGTTCGCCGCCGTCACCAGCAGATCGTCTTGATAGGCCACACACCCGTCTATGCCATCCAGGATGTGATCGATTGCTGCCTGAAACACCGAACTGCACGCCGATATGCCGAACGGTAGGGATTTCATCCGATACCGTCCTCGGTGCGTGACGACTGTTGTCATATCCCGCGATTCCTCCGCGAGCTCCAGCTGCAGGAAGGCGTCTTTCAGGTCCAGTTTGCAGAACCGCCGTCCTCGGACGCTCGCAAAGATGTCCTCGGCGGATGGCGTAGGATGCGTCGCCATTTGCAGCTGCGGGTTTACCGTTAGTCGATAATCACCGCACAGACGCACACCGCCATCAGCCCGTGGCACCGTCACCAGTGGTGTTCCCCAGCCGGGCGCGTCGTTTGGACCGACTTTTTCCGCGATCCCGGCCTGCACCCAGCGGTCGAGCTCCTGCTCGACGGCCGGTTTCAGTGCATATGGAGGCGAGCGCACCGGCCGTGACACCGGCCGTGCATCCGGTTTCAGTGTCAGGTGCGCCTTTACTCCACTGATGCGCCCCGGTGTGCCGTCAAACACCGACTTGTGCCTGTTACAGACCGCCTCCAGGTCCGCCGTCCCTCGGTCCGGCGTGACGTCCATCACCGCCGTCTCTCCGCCGCCCACACTGATGTCCAGAGCCCGCAGCCAGTCGCGGCCTAGCAGACGGCGATCGCCAGGCAGGTCCACCACGACCAGTCGCAGTCGATGGTCCCGACCGCGAAACCTTACAGAGACGTCTGCCTCACCCCGGAGAGGGATCCGGTGACCAGTGAATGACGACAGCTGTAGCTGAGTAGGTTTCAGTCGCAGCCGCGGGATGACCGTGTCCCGCCCCACAGCAGTGATAGGGCTGCCGGTGTCCACCACCATTTTGATGGCCACCCCGTTCACCGGTAAAGTCATTTTAACCGCCTCCGTTAGGTTAACAGCGTTTATCTGCCCCAGCCCCCACATGCCCGCCGTGGCAGTCCGCTGTCGGCATTGACTGCGCAGATGTCCGATCTGCTTGCAGCGGTAGCACCGCCGCGTCTCCGGTGCCGGTCTGACCCCGTCGGACCCACGAGTGTCAGATTCCCGGCGCCCCGGCCCCGTCGGCCGCCGTGACGCTGGTGCCGCACGCGCTGACTCATCCGGGCGTCGGCTGTCCTGACAGTCCCGCTGAAAATGTCCCGCCGCACCGCAGCGGTAGCAGCGGACCGTGCGCCGCTGGCGGCTCCGGTTACCGTCAGCCGTGCGCTGTGGCCGGACAGCGTTAAGCTGATCCGGCCCCGAGGTCACCACATCGACCTCTGGCCGCTCGTCCAATGCGGTAGTTGACCGTCCGACGCCGTCCGTGCTCAGAGACGCATTACGGAACTGCGTCACTAGCATTTGCGTTTGCTCGTATGCACGAGCCGTAGCCTGCAGATCTTGCAGTGAAAAGTTATCTCCTTTGGTTCCGACCGTCTGCAACAGTCGCTCCTGAATTTGTGGAGTCGCGCCGGCCACGCTCCTGTCCCGGAGCTCACGGTCGAGGTCAGCCGCCGGGAACCCGCACCGCCCAGCCACCGCCCGCAAACGAGCCAGGTACGCGTCGAATGACTCGCCGGCGTACATGCTCGTGCGGTGGAACGTTACACGTTCCGCCATAAGGTTAGACGTCGGCTGCAGATATTGGCGTAGTTTAGCCACAGCGGTGTCGTATTGTGACGTTGCAGCCGTTGCAGCCGGCTCCGGCAGGGTGTCGAACACGTCCTGGATGTCCGGCCCCATTAGATGGAGCAGGACTGCAGTCCGCCGCCGGTCGTCTGTTATGTCCATCGCCTCGGCGTAGAATTCCAGACCCTTCAGCCACCGGCTAAAGTCCATCCCCTTTGCAAAAGGAGCCACGCTCGGCAGTCCGGCCGCCATGTTTGCCACCGCCCCGAGGCTGCACCGGGGTCAGGCACTGCACACTGCACTGACCGCGCTGACTCACCAGTCACGCCACACCGAGCAGAGTCCAAAGTTCAGAGTCCAGCGGCCGCCGTCGCCGCCCGCACCACTGTTCACCCAACACGGAGGTGCAATACAAATGTTCCCAACAACGATACAGCGAAACGCAGCGGCAGAGCTGACAGCGTTAATGCACAAAATTATGCAGCAGTATAAAAAAAAATACTAAGCACTAAGCAGAACTAAGCACTAAGCAAGATCACCCGGCCCGACGCTGTCACTTCACCGTGATGTATATCCGCGCCGACCGCCGCGCACTGTACCATCCAGCACGCCAAACGAGTTTGTCCGAGTCCCGACGCTGTCACTTCCCCGTGACGTATATCCGCGTCGGCCACCGGTGCCGCACCACCAGAACGCCAAATCCGTGAGAACGCCACTTTTCCTTCCGAGATCACCACTAAGCGAATCTCGTCCTCGTCGCCAAGTTGTTACGCCGCTAGTATCCGCGGCTGAGTTCGTTCCAGCTTCCGGGTCCGCGATCTCGGTCCGCGATCTCACACAGCGTTCTGAATAACGTAGTCCTGTATTGGTGATCGGTGTCCGGCGGGGGCCGCTGCCCGACTGCTGCACGGCCGCACCGTGCCCACGAGCGCAACGAGCTCAGCGCCACCTAGTCTACTGCACAAAGTTCAGAGGGCAAAGGGCTACGTCACCACATTTGCTGTAATAGAAATTCAAGGTGCAGATTTGGTCAAATCAGGTGCATTCGCCGGATAGCCCGTCGTGAAAACGGCTAATACCTACTAACTTTATCATTTGACCTCAGTCTCACTCGGCCAGACCTTGGCCTGATATCGACCTAACCTTCATCCACTTATGATGGCAGGTATGTATGTACGTACATTTTGTCAAGTGACCTTTCAATTGATGCAGCATAATCGCCTAAACGTTTTAGGCTGTTATCTCTCATGCTCGGGGCTCAGGCGTTATTTTTATTTCACCCATTTTTCGGAGAACCCGACTCTATACCTACACAACGCCCGACCGCCGACGCCATGACAGTGCATGAACAAAAATAGGGGGATAATTTTTTCAGTACCTAAATTTCAGTTATTTTGCACTATCATAAGTTCAGTTTGCACTATCGTCTTTTCGCAGGCAATTCCTGTCAAACACAGGTATATCCGGTCATTCCGCACTATTTTAGTTAGTATAGAGGCGATGCCAGATCTGGCATAATAAATGGGTGTGTGGTAGCTTATTTTGCACTAAATCCGGTATATGAGCACTACCTATTCATGATTTCACTGCCGAGCACGAGCTACTGCTATGACCACAGTATTCTTGAGCCTTGAGGTATTTATTTTTTTATGTTGTACGTAAGTTGGACATCAAAGTATGATCCTCCATTCAGCGTATTACTTCCATGATGAAAACGGAATTGGAGCAAGTTTTGTTGCATAGGTCCTGCCCTCTACGCAATACACCACGCCCGGTGCTGCCCCCTAACGACTAATAGGCATGCTGGGTAGTGGGTATACATTTGGTAAATTTGTGGACAAAAATGCGCATCGCTTATTGGTTCCAAGGCTATAGAACTCCAGGTAAGGACACCAGCCGTTTGACCTTGAACGCCGCCGGCCGGCCGATGACGTCATTGGAGGCAAGCCGGCTCGGCGGACACACAGGGCGAATGCATAACGGAGGGGCATTGGAACGTTGCGGGAGCCAGGGAGATATTTTAAAGTGGTTGCATACCACCATTGTTTGTTGATTGATCTACAGACTGCATCCTTTTAAACCTCGGTGCATCCTAGGCCTGGATGGTGCGTACATTCGTGGAACGATCACCCCGTCCGACGTCCGTGGTCGAAGCTGTCATAGTACTTAAGACACTAAGACGGGTGCAATAACGGCGATCCGATCCCGTCTCTGGCGAATTTAGAGGGGTCGTAAGGACCCAGGCCGAATCTGACCGTCTATTTTTAGGGAAACGGGGTGGGTGAATGGACAACCGATGGCTTAAGAGATGATGAGAAGGGATCCGTCGTCGATTGTTGTTTGACAGACAACACATGTTGTACTGGGCGTATGACCATCAGAGGTAATGCCTGAACGTAGGCAAGCATAATTGGTCTGTCATATTGTTTAGGAATATAAAATGGTAATGGAGATCATTGAGGATCTCTACATTACGGGAATTCACTAATTACTACGGCCCATAGGGGCACCGCCGGAGCTGTTGTTTTGCCATCGGTCCCAGGCAACTCCAGGGAGCTGCAGTACCCGGCGGCCAAAGCGGCCACCTCGTCGACTCGCAGGTCCTCTGGGATTCCGTGATGCTTTAGTGCTTCACCCACAGAAGCACGGGCATAGCAATTAGCAGTAGGATGTGGGGCTAGGTGTCTGTCCACCTCTTCATTCAAAGAACAACGTGTACAGCGCCTGGTCCCGCCGAAGCTCGGTATCGACCGTGACTTAATCACAACTGGCGGATCCAAGAAGCGGTATTGGACACTGCGGGGGCTTTATACCCCAAAAAGGTTTCTCGGAATTAATTTAAAAAACTCGGATTTCGATTCCTTGCGCACTGCTGTGCGGTGCGCACTGCATTTCCTCAGAAAAGTTGTGAAGTTTTCATTTATTCTCGAAAATCGATTTCGGGCGCTGCCCTGGTTGTTGGGGAAGACATTTGCCCCAAATGCCTTCCCCTGGATCCGCCAGGCCGTTGCCCCACTCCGAGCTTGATTAAAGACGTCTTCAAACCTCACCAGAAACCGATGGTAAGGTGAATTTAAATCCAATAACTCATCTCTGTCTGCCCGCCTAAATATACTACACATGGTAAAGCACCCGGCCCTATCGGAGCTATGAGCCGATCGTGATAATTTCGGCTTTCCCCATTCCAAGCTCGATTAGAAACGTTCTCCTTCCCCACCCGATTGCTGATGTCAATTCAAATTCAATGCCTCATCTCTGTCTGCCCGACCATAACCCATTCATTGCACACCGTTCAGCGCCCGGCCCGCCAGAAGTATCCTAGCGCGCTGAGCAGTTGCCTCCAGCCGCGTCATCGCGAGGCCCCGCGCGGCCCATAAATGAAAACATTGCGCGAATAGCCGTGTCGCCCCCCTGATTGGTTCGTGGGACAAAATCATGTACGCAAATGTACGGTACACGGTCGGCCCTCCGGCTTCATCTGGCTCACGATGCAGATTGCAGCGTGACCACTCATGCTCCTCAGCAAAGTACCACCCCCTCGAAATGAGAGCTGGCTAGGCGTTAGGCCGCTGAACGACGAAACGCTGCTGCGAAATGCTACAATCAAGACCCATCTAGTTGTTGTGCGTCAATAACAGTCAGACACGTCCCTTCCACGACACGTACGGAAGGGACGTCGAGCGCTTCCTACTAAGCATCGGAAAATGCCACCGCACATTTAGATTAAGCATTTGCTACTGCAATGCTGTACCTACATGCCCATAGCGCCGTTAGATAACCAGACAGAATAAAGACAGCAGCACTGGCGGACCAGTACGCTTGGGCGGACGGTAGGCTCAGTTCACTCTTGGACAAGAAAAGGCAGGATGATCGGCACACGCTGAGGCCGTACGTAAATCAATCTATCCAAATTCCTTGCCAAATCCGTCCAAGAAGCTAGCCTTGCGTCCTATCGGTCCTCTCAAAACGCATGCGCCGAAACAGACGCTAATCGACCTGGCATCCTCGCGGAAATCGTCATCACTCCATGCTAAGAACCTCGCTCAAGTTCACTCTTGGACAAGAAAAGGCAGGATGATAGGCACACGCTGAGGCCGTACGTAAATCAATCTATCCAAATTCCTTGCCAAATCCGTCCAAGAAGCGCGCCTTGCGTCCTATCGGTCCTCTCAAAACGCATGCGCCGAAACAGACGCTAATCGACCTGGCAATAAACAATCTGTAGCTAGTACAGACTAGTATTGTAGTTTATTTCTTCATAAGATACTAAAATCATTCTAGATTTAGTAGGGATGCCTAAACATCTACCAAAAATAGTGCGAAATGACTACCATTAGGTGCCATTCAAACTAAAAGTACTGCGAATTAGACTGAAAGCAGTGCTTAAGTCGCTTAAATAGGTGTTATATAACTGGTTAGGTGCTAAATGACCCTGTTATACCTCAAATTAACTGGAAATGCCTAGTTTTGCCAAAAATACCACAAAATGACCGGTTTTTAGTGCTGAGAAAATTACCATCCACAAAAATAAACACCCAATCACCACTTCCAACGGCTTTTAGGGTTCTTTCCAGTTCCCTCCCTTACCCCGGTTGTGTCAAGTGGCAACTCACATTGCTCACGAGCTCACCCTAAGTAGACTCACCTCGACAGAAGGTAAGCACGAGTTCCTCCATCCGCTCACAGATGGCTCTGACAGGTGTGCTCCGGGGTGAGAGGCCGCCCGCCCGTTCCGTCCCGTACCGCCGCCTCGTGCTGCGCGCTGCCCCCGGGCCGGCCGCGAAGTGCAGGTACGAGCGGATGAACATTACTACTAAAGACTGACAGTTATTAGTGGTAATTTTCATGGCTGTTGTTAACTAAATACGGTATCGTTTTCCAATATCATGTATTTTATGTAAATGGAAGGTCTCGAATGGGAGAAACGCTTGCGAGTATGAGAACTATTCTTATGCGGAGGAATTCACCGGTGCTACGCACTCAGCTGATTGCCCGGCAGGCGTAACTGTGGCGGCCCGTCAGGACATAGGGATTTATCCCGGTTCTTGGGATATTCATAAAGCATTGGCTGTTGAGCACTGATCACTGATTGGTAGTCGGGTAGTCATTTTGAATGACTCAGACGGTGAGAGTGGGCTATAAACATAAAATATACCTACCTAGGCCACAGGGTTCCAGGCCAAAGAATCTTATTAGGCTGGGGGGATCCATGTGATCGCAAGGCACCTCGCAGTTGCGATCAAACGTAAGTT